TCAGTGGGCTCCCCGTCCCAGCTCAAAATCTGTGATCCCATACATTTCCTCTGGATCTCCTCAGCTCCCTCAGGTTCACCTCTAGACCGAGCCTCAGTCTCTCTCCAGAGTTCCATTCCCACGACACCATCTGCCCAATGTTCACTTCCAACTAGACGTCCCAGAGACCCAGTCAATTCCAAATGTCAAAAACAGAATTCCTACTCTCTCTTCTCCCTAACTTTTCTGTTCCCTGGTCACTGCCTCCTTCACCCTTAACCCTTTCCTTCCCTCAGTCCCATGCTCCCCCTTACATCTACTTCTCCCTCTCTACTCACATGGAAATCACTTTAATTACTAATAATCATAGTAACAGCTAGCATTTCTATAGCACCTACTATGTGCCACATACCAGGCTTTACAAACATGATCTCATTTGATCCTCACAACAACCCTTTGAGGTAGGTGCTGTTACTATCTTCATTTTACAGCTGAGGAAACTGAGGCAGCCAAGGCGAAAGGACCAGGTTCACACGGCCAGCAAGCGGTCTGAGGCTGAATGTGAACTGGGTCTGACTCCAGGCCAAGGGCTGTGCCACTAGCTGCCATCCGAGCCCTCGTCACCTGTCACCTGGATTACTGCAGCAGCTCCCCCACCTCCAGCTTCAGGCTTCCTGGGTGCCCTGCTCAAGCAATCTTTCCTGGTTCCCAGCTGCCCCCTCCTCCAGGTGGTACTTGGGGGTCTCTACCACCCGGCTCTGGCCAACCTTCCCATGCTCGCCTACCTGTGACTCCTCATCAGAGGCACCCACCCTGTGCTTCTGTCTGGAAGATCCTCCAGGGGTCCACGTGCCAGCGACCTCCTCATGAGGCCCTTCCTGATCCCCCCGGCCCCCCATGGGAGTAGCTGGTATGTGCGTGTGTGTCTTCCCAGCAGAATGGAAGCTCCTCGAGGGCAGGGTCTGTCTGGTTTTTGTCCTCTATTCTCTGCAAAGCAACAGAGCTAGGCACATAATGGGCGCTTACTGCAGCTTGTGCAACCAAGCACGCCGCCCTGGGCTCGGGTTTGTTGTTTTGTTTTGAGCTGGGCTTGGAGTCCAGAAGCCCCAGTGCAAATCCTGCCTCCTGGGCACGTAGCAGCGTAGAGAGGAGGCTGGGATCAGCACCCGCAGAGGGTGGGGGTGAAGGTCCACGAGGACCACGGTGCAAAGCACTTTTGGGGTGCTACAGGAATGCTGGGATGGACAGTGCAGCAGGGGAAAACCTAGACGGCCAGCCCAGTGCCAGGAAGGGGGACAGTCTGAGTGGGGGAGGAGGCAAAGGGGAGAGAGGAGAGGGTCTCCCCGGCTTTGGGAGGACCCGCTCCCCTCCGCCCCTCCAGGCAGGAGCTGGCCTCTCCCGTCTGCCGGGTTTCCAGGACGCCGGGGCGGAGGGGAGCAGGGCTGATGCCCCGCACGGACCAGACCAGGCTCCGCAGGGGCTGCCAGGAGCGGGGGAGGAGGAGGGGGGTCCCCAAGGCAGCAGGGCTCAGGGCCTGGGGCCGGGGGCGGGGGAAGAAGGTGCATCTGAACCGCCCGGACTGGCCTCGGTTTCCATGCACCGCGAGGTGGGGGAGGCGGGGGGGTGACGGAAAGGAATCCGCACCCACTACCCACCCACCGGGCTTAGAAACTCACCCAGGCCCCGGGCGCTGCTGGGCATGCGTACTCAATGCTCCCAGGGACTCCGCACTACATTTCCCAGAGGGCAGCTCGCCCGCTTCCTCTTCCGGTGGCGTGGCCGACAGCCTCCTCCCCACCTCTCGCCCTCCTCCAGCTACCGGAAGAGGAAGTTGGGCTCGCAGCGGCTTCTGGGAGATGTAGGCTAAAGACCTTCACCGTAAAAGAGGCGGAGGTGAAGTGATTTGCCCAGGATCACCCAGCTAGTTAGCACCTAGGGCAAAATCTGAACTCGCCTCTTCCCAACTCTAAGTCCAGCCCTCGTCCCCTACCCAAAAGGAGCCTCCATTCAGATAGAGGACCGAACTGGTACGGATCAAACTACCGCCAGCCCGAATAAGTCCCAACACCGACGGGCGAGTGCGTGCAGGCTAGTGTGGGAGGGACCAGGAAAGCCGGAGCCTGGAGGACGGCTCCTGGGCAAAGGCGCGGAGGTGGGAGATGAGTCAGCCCTTTCGATGACACAGCCTGGCGGGCGCGGTGCGGCCCCCTGGGCACTGGACCAAGGCAGACACGGTCCTGCCCCCAGCGGAGCAGAGGCTGAGACGGGGAGGGAGTCCCAGGCATGGGGGGCCCAGGCAGCGTCCCGGCCCCTCTCGGGTCTGGGGTCTTCCCTCCACCACTTACTCCCCACCTCCCCCCCCATGTAGCTTGCACACTTGTGACCGTTACATTCATCGAGTCCGGAGAGCCTGGAAGCTTACGACCCGCGATGCCCCAGCAGGTCGCCAGCCCCTGCCTGGCACATAGTAGGCGCTTCCCGAGAGGTACACGAGGCTTGATGACTGACCCATCCTGGTTGATCTGCCTGTTCCTTCCGGACACTCCGGAGGAGGGTGTGGGGGGGGGAACTGCCCCCTCCCCAAATGCCTGCTGGATCCCAGTGTCGGGTCTGAATACGCTTGGCTACACAGGCTGGAACAGTATGGACAGGAGTGCAGACAGTGCGGCAACCCAGCATTCATTTAGCTATCCACAGTCAGTCCTGTGAGAGGAGGCCGTGGAAGGACGCCCAAGGGCTGACCATGGTGGAACGGATGTGTAGGGCCATCATACCGGGAGAGCACTGGAAACCCCCTCGGTGTGACATGGACCCCTATGGCGGTCAGTCTGGTCAAGCCTGTGAAACTCTTCCCCAAATAATGGTTTTAAAAGCAGAAAAGAATTGCAGAGAAAACCAATTGTAACAAAATACTGCTATCAACATCTTTTTGAAAAACCAAGGTCAAGGATGCTGTTAGGAAACCCAAGTCTGAACCCTCTGATCTGTCCCCACACTCGGGAATAAGGCTGGGGTTCGAGGAAGTGGAACACAAGGAGTAACAAAGCCCTGCCCTCTCTCTACTCAGGCTTATAACACTGGCTGCCCCCCAGCCTGGAGCGCTCTTCCTCCTCCCTGGCCTCAACCTGGGCTTCCTGGCTGCCTTCAGTCTCTGCTAAAATCCCACCTTTCCTGGTCCCCCTCCATGCTAGGGTCTTCCACCCGAGATGGTCTCCGGTTTCTCCTGTCTACCTTGTTTGGATTTAGGTTTTCCCATGTGGGCTCCCCCATTAGACCGTAAGCTCCTTGAGGGGAGGGTCTGTTTTTCCCTCCACTTGTATCCTCAGTGCTTAGCAAACAGTAAGTGCTTGCTAAATGCTTGTGGATTTGATTTGGAAGAGAGATGGAGACAGAGAGAGGGAGGGATGGAGAAGGAACAGTGAGAGAGAAGGGGGGAGGGACACAGAAACTGAGACAGTCCCAAGGTGGTGCCGCCACCAGACCAGGACAGCTAGAGACAGCCTGGCCTTGTTGGTCTCAAAACCATCCCTACTCCCAGCGGCCCATCTTTAATGCCTCTTCTCTTAAAGCTCGAGGCACTGACTCTTCCAGGCCTCACCAGTTCAGGGACTTCTGGCCATGCCATGCAGGACTCAGGACTAATTCGTAATCTTTATGACCCCTTGGGGAGGCGAGAAACCCAGTTGGAGCCGGTGGCCCTGCCAGATTTTGGGGCCACGTTTCTCTGGGCTCCACACTGTCCGAACAGTTCCCTGGAGGGGTCTGTGGGTGGGAGCTGGGCTTGAGAGATGTTGTCTGCTGCGGAAGCTTTTCTTGCTTCCAGCCGGCTCCCCTCCTCTGCTCGTGGGTCCGAGGACCAGAGATCCCATTCTGGGATCTCCATCCACGGACGCTGAGGTCGACTCCTTTCTCAGGAAACGTAGAAAGAGTAGAGAAAGGGCATGGTGGGAATGAGACCTTGGCTCCCGAAGTCTCCAGACATTTGTTCCTATTTCCTGACCCCAGCCTGGCTGCCCTTAGCCTTGGAAGGGGAGGGGCCGGTTTCTAGGTCGCCTCCCTAGCAGAGACCCAGAACCACCAGCACGACAAATGAGCTTCCCTTGGGGAGGGGAAAATCTTCAGTCTGGGGCACTACCCACAAGCTAGCCCACCCCCAGCTTCCTCCTGTGACCCACACCTGTACCCCTCCCCCTCTCTCCCCATCCTGCTCTCACTCACTTCTGCCCCTCCTCCAGCCCCTGGGACCCCTGCCCACCCCTCCCCCACTGCTCCTACCTTTGTCTCCCCTCCTCCTGTCCTCTTCCCCTCGCCCTTCCTTGGCCCTCTCTGTCCCTCTCCAATCTTCTCCCTTTCCCCTCTTACTGCACCTACCTCTTCCTCCTCTTTCCCTTCTGCTCCCCCTCGTAAGGCGCTACGGTCTCTAATCTCTCTGTTCCTCCATCCAGAATCTTGCAAGAGCTCTGGTAAGCAAAGTCTTTTCGATTTTACGCACACACACACACTTCGTGGTCCCGAAGAGTTGGAGTTTCATGGTCTCTTCAGGACCATGAAGAGTCAGACACGACTGAAAAACAGAATGGCAAAGATACTGGAGTGGTTTGTCTTCTCCTTCTCCAGCTCATTTTATAGATGAGGAAACTGAGGCAAACACTTAAGTGACTTGCCCAGGGCCACACAGCTGTAAGTGTCTGAGGCCACATTTGAACTCAGGAAGATCATCTTCCTGACTATATACAAATACACACACAGCACACATATATGTCAACCCGTTCACCAATAAACATGGATTAAGCACTGTGCTGAGTAGTTGTCAATACAAAAAGAGGCAAAGGAGAGCCCCTGCCCTCAAGGAGCTTACAGTCTAATAGGGAAGCCAGCTGGCACACAAGTGTGTAGAAAGAAGCTATGCAGAAGATCCATAGGAAAGAATTAGCCTAGGGAAGGCTCTAGCAGGAGGGGTGGGAAAGGCTTCCTGGACAAAGAGGAATTTCAGAAGGAAGCCGGGGGGCCTGAGTGTGGCCATGAAGTGGGAGGGGAGCAGCCCGAAGGGGTGCCGAGAGGTGGAGGGGCTTGGTGGCTTGGCCAGGAGGCCAGGGTCCCTGGATCCCAATCCTGGGGTGAGTGAGGGGTTAGAAAACTGGTTAAGTGCTTTATTGGGGGTGGCTTTGAACACCGGACAGGATTTTGTATTTGACCCTGGAGGTGGACGTTACCGAATAGGGAGGTGACATAGGCAGCCCAAAGTTGGGGCTCTGGCTCTTCCCTTCCCCCATCCTCCTCCCATAAGGTTTCTTCTCCTCCTGCTTTTTTTTCCTCCTTTGCCTCCTAGTTCTGCCCCTCCCCCTCAGCCCTGCCCTACCTCCCCGTGCTTAAGCATTGGGTACAGATTCCCCAGGGGCATTTATTTCTTCCACCTACATTGATTTAGCTCCTCCCAAGGACTAAGCCGCCTAGCTGAGTGCTGAAAGTCCCAAGATTAAAACGAAACAGCCCTTGCCCTCTGGAGTACCCCACAAGTCAGGACAAAATACAGAGGGTGATTTCTGGTGAGGGAAAGCACTAGCAACCGGAGGGATCCCTGTAGAGTTATTGAAGGGGGCCAGGCACTTAACCAAGCCTGGAGCGAAGGTATAGATTCCCTGAGGTGGAGGTGAAGAGGGAGGGCGTGCTAGGCGTCTGGTAAAGCCTGTGCAAAAGCCCTGTGGCTGGAGATGGCTTATTCTGTAAAGGAGATTGACGTAGCACTTAGTGAGGCTGGAGCCGTATTGTGAAGAGCTTTGCATTATTTCTAGCAGCCATTGTGAGAGTCTCTGCCCCTTCTTCAGCAACATCCTGAGACCTCTGCTTTAGGGATATCAACTGTTGGGGCCAAGGATGCACCGGGGGATCCAGTGTTTGTGGACTGACTATGCGTGTCCAAGGTGACTTTGGTGTTACCTCAGGCAGCATGGTTCCATTACTCTGAAACTGAGTGTGTGGGAAGAAACTGTCAAAGATTCTCGGCATGATCCAATGGAAACAGCATCTGATTCATCATGGAGCAGGATGGCCGGAGTGTTCCTCATTGGAAATTAATCATTAGAACCCTATGCCTGGTGTTAGTGTTGTGCGTGTCTTTATGAGATGTAACTAGGTCTGGTGTATGATCTGGGGGATGGGCAATGAAGGGCAGGGCCTGGGTGTCCTCACTTGGGGAAAGGATTTGGGGGAACAAGGGGCCGCGTGGTGAAGTGGGAAGAGCTGAGGGCTGTGAGCCATGGCTGGACTCTGAGCTCTTAATGGTCAACAGTGGCCTGAGGCAGTTCAGTCCTTCCTTGACTCAGTTTCCTTATGCATAAAATGGGAATGATAATAAATCCTGGAATTGCCACAAGGAAGGGGTTTTGTAAACTCCAAGGCTCAGTTTAACTCTGGGGATTGTGTAAGGACCACATGATCCGAGATTTAGACCTGGAAAGGACTTTAGGATTCACATATACCATAACTTCATTTTACTCTTGAGTAAACTGAGGCCCAGAGAGCTTTGGAGACACTCAAAGCCACCCAGGTGGAGCCAGGAAGGCGTCTCAG